CGATTTATCAGGCACGAAAGATTCTCCATGCTTTTTTTATATTTTTCAATTTGGATGATTGATTTTAAAATTGTATCGAATTATTAAAAATATATCAGCACACTGATACATTAATGAAATATAAAATATAGTAATGTCCGTGCGATATTTTTATTTATTTATATATTTATATTAAGTTATTATTATAAATACATATATATATATATATATATATATATATATATATTTAAACTATAACTCAAGTTCAAGATCATACAGTGTGTTACTTGTCCCGAATGGGTTAATAAAGTGATTTGAAATTTAAAATAAAATCGCACTTTTATTCGAATAAAATATATGTATATATATATATATATATATATATTTTATTCGAATAAAAGTGCGATTTTATTTTNAAAATAAAATCGCACTTTTATTCGAATAAAATATATATATATATATATATATATACATATATTTTATTCGAATAAAAGTGCGATTTTATTTTAAATTTCAAATCACTTTATTAACCCATTCGGGACAAGTAACACACTGTATGATCTTGAACTTGAGTTATTAGTTATTAGTAAAGATAATATCGTTTTGAGGTGAAAAGAAGATTAAAAAAAAATTGTCTTTAAAATAATTCCTCGACTCGAATGGCTTGAAAACAACTCTGATACGATCGAACAATAATTATCGGGCAAGCTATTCGAATTTCAAGTGACCGCACCGTATCGTCTACCATACCGCGATCATTTAAAGAGAATTCGATCGTTGTTGGAAAGAGCCAGCGGGTAGAAGAGCGGCGTTGCTTCTGGCGCGATACGCATCGTCGATGTTAGCGGTTTGCGAAGCAGGAACGCGATGACTCAAGCACCGGCTAGATTTGCTCGCACGGCATGAATCGTTGCGCTCGTTAGGACGCTCGTAGGTTCGCGCGATACATCCGTGCCCGGTTGCGAAACACACACGGGCAAATTGGTGCACGTTTAAAAAGCGTGACGCTCGCAGGCAAGAGCCTCGCCGACTCGAAGAGTGTGTCGACTCTCGGCAAACTCACGACTCGCACCATCGCCACCGCCAGTCGACCGTGATCGATAAAACGAGCACGTTTTTCGTTTGTGCAACATAGTCGTGGTAACCAAACGAAATCACATCCGCGGATATTTATCGCCTAATTTCTCCCCTCCACTCCCCCTTTGGAATCGAGCTCTAACAATGTCTTGTGATTTTCGATAGATTCGATTCGACGAAATCCAGCTATGCTCCGGGTGAATTTAAAATGTTGTAAACTGGTATTATAGTTAGAATATTTTATATTATGTATGATACAAAATTCATGATATATAATTCATTACTATTATATACTATATAATATTATATTATATAGTATAATAGTATATATATTACTATTATATAGTATATGTATAATAGTAATATATATAATAATATATATTGTAAATTACTATTATATTACTATTACACATAGTATATATAATAGTAATATATATAATATATATAGTAATATATTATATATATGTATATTATAAATTACTATTATATTACAATTATATATATAATTCATTACGAGAAGTATATAGATCTTTATGAGTATATTACCAACAATCCTACAGATAGGTTCACCTTCTCGTTTTTAATATTCTTTCCTGCGAAATTGCACGAGATCGTCAAAAAGCGACATTTAATACACTTAAGGATGGATTTAACACATTAACTGAACAAGAAGTACAATAAAATATACATACAAAGTATACTAAAACATACAAACGTAATAAAACATGGCGTGTTTTACGCCCACGGTGCACGCCGGAGTCAGATTGTTTCGCGCGAAGTTCAAGGTTGAATTTCAAGCCGAATCTCGCCAGACTGCTCTGCTGCGATAACCTATAAATACCCGAGTGGAATCGCTGTGCGTTTAAAAAGTGTTCGATCCTGCGAACCGTGCGGTAATAATAGGACTATTGGTCGATAGTGTTGGATCACCGACGATTCGGTGAGCAGCACGAGATGAGAAATAAAACCGGGCGAACGTGTGTGTGTGTCCGCTCGGGGAACAAAAAGCAGATTGAGCGTCGCTAGTTAAGAGTCGAGGAAGAGAAAGTCAACGAACCAATGGCAGCCAGTCGCTGATTGAGCCTGAATGCCGGTGTTCTGGCTTTTATTAAGCGCAATCGTTCAGATTCGGTCCGTAACTCTCCCCCTTCTCTCTCTTTCTTTTCTCTGTCGACCGATTCGCGCGTGTCTCGCGCTTTTAACGAGCGTTTTACGAGCTTTTGTGTTCTCTCTCTCTCTCTCTCTCTCTCTTTCTCTCTCTCTCTCTTTCTCTCTCTTTCTCTGGTCCTGCACCTTTTGTCTGTTGGGAATGCAATACGCGAACAAAACGCAACCGCGTATAATGCTCTCCTACGCGGGCGCAATCTCGGCCTGATACACGCTCCGGATCAGACGCAGGACGCGTTCAACAGAATACCACGGGACGATCGTCGATTCTCATGTTTCTCTTCGCTGCTTCGTTTGCCAATCAGCGGGCTTTCGAATAGCTTTCTCTAGCTATTGGACGACCGGTGGTAATTTGCTGTTTGTCAGACGCGATTGTCTCTCACTCCGTCTCTCTTTTTTTTTTTTTTTTTTTGTGAGCGATATACTCTCGATTGCAAGAATACACGATCTGTGATTCACATCCGGGCGAAAATCATCATACGTCTGACGTACAATATCCTGCAACGAAGTCGTTCTCCGATAGAATCTTGCTCGTTATAGCATTTGTTAATTACGGATGTATTGCGTCCTCGGGCTATATATATATATATATATATATATGTCTCGAACTCGTAATATAGGAATGAAAAATTATTGATAATGGAACTGGGGGTCAGTGAACTCGAGAGTCAATTGAATTATCTTCTCGTTAATAGATTCACCTAAATGGAGCTCTGTTATAGTCACACGAAAAGTGTCACCGGTAGTCGACGAATTTGCTTAAAATATAGAAAATCAATAGCTACGTTTTAACTCGCAGGGGACATCGTATGAACTAGCCGGCTAGAAATAATAAAGCTGTTGTGCATGTGTCGTGAGATGTCGCGTGTAACAGAATTCTACAAAAAAAAAAAAAAAAAAAAAAGGTTACAACGAGCGTACGTGGAACGCAAAATACACGCAAGGAATATTAACTGACGCATCAAACGATGACGCATCAAAGCACCGAGCAAACAGAACACGTGAATTGACATTTGCTCAAAGCATCGGTTAGCATCGTAAATCTTTTTCTAGAATGAGAGATTATAATTAGATTCGCGTTCTGTTCTTGTCTGCGAAGCTGTTTAAAAAGATTTTCTCTCTCTCTCTTTCTCTCTCTCTCTCTCTCTCTGTTTCTTTTTATGTACATAGACGATCGTTAATTCCACGTTTTCTCTTTCCAATTTTCCAGTTCACCGTCGTTAATGAATTTTATCGTCTCGGTGGCCTGATCTTGACACAGTTTTCCTTCAGATTACATGTAGGAAAAATACTAATGTCGGAGGACGTTTCTATTTGAGATCGTGGATAAATAATTGATTCAATGTTTTTATAGATCTGTAGAAAGTAAGCAAATATACTATATGTGAAATATTCTAAACTCTATACTAATACTCTTCTTAATATTTGATAGGAAAAATAAGCTTCGTTTCTTTTTTTTTTTTTAAATGATCTTTATAAGCATACTGCAGATTTTTTTATAGAGGATGATTCAAATAAATGGAGCTTGGATAAAAAGATATTTTGTAGTTCTTGCGACTACAATAAATTTTCCACGATCTCGATATTTATCGGATAATATATATGGAACAAAAAATCGGACAGAAATCTTGGATTCCTTCTTACGAGATTATAAATTTGTATTGGAACAAGTGGAAGTCTCGATCGTGCAGACGTTTTCAATCGGCTTCGCAAGATCCTCGTGATACATACCACTCTCCAGTTAGATCACGAACACACTCGTGCAAATACATTAATGAAAGAATTATTACTTACGCTGCGAGCGGAATGCGGTTTTACCAGTGTCTTTTAAAGTCTAAAGGTATAAGTTCCGTGTGATTCATGCACCACAACTGCACTTGGCTCTAAGAGAATTGATAAGCGTTCTGGGAAAATTATATCCACCGTGTTTGATTAATCGGGTCTGAAAAATTAAATTTCGAATTTTAAATTTAATTCATTTTTATTTAAAAATCTAAAATTAGATGTTTCAAGTTCCCGTAATTGAGATAAATTAGTCTTGAAACTTTCGGGGACCATAAATAATTTAAGAGTCAACTTGCTTAATTTTGAAATTTCTATTTTAATTGACTTTTGTTATTAATCTCTGTCACAGTGCTTCAATCTTGGTTGTCCAACATTAAAAATATCATTTGTAATATTGAATAATTATGTATGACTCAATATACATACTATTAACTCGTTAAAATTTAAAACTAGCAACACGAACATCTTCCACGCATCGGAAACGATTGAATTTACATTTCCATGAACGCAACTAATTCTCCCCGCGAACGTATAAATAGACTCGGTCTAACAATCGTATATCGTCAGGAAAGTTGCTAAGGCGAGAGTGTACAGCCGCAGCCTGTGTGCTTTCTCCTCGGACGTCGGGTGTCGAATGCGTTTTCGCGCGGGCGCCGATGTGACGACGAACGCGAAAATAGAAGTTGGAGTATCGCGTTTCGAGCTCTCTCGGTGACCGGCAAACACGCGGAGTGTGACGAAGGAAACACCAAACACGAACCGATAGTGACTAGGCATCTAGGAGTCCAATATACGCGTCATTTCGAAAGTTATGCTTCGTCAAATCGCAAACCTCCGACGTGTAACGAAAGTCATGCAACGAATGTAACGACCGATGATTCGACGAGTCTAGTTGCACGATATGCTCGGATCCCATTCTCTGACGACAATGGATCGACAAACGACAAATTGATTGGCAGTATTTATTGAAGTAGGTATCTTATGCTCCGCAGAGGAACATGCAGTCGACCTCGATGCCGTGGAACACGTTCATCCCGCTGCCACCGCCAGGAAGCAGGACGCACGCGGCGCCGCATTCCGGAATGACGGCGCATGTAGGCCATCATCATCCGGGGCCAGGTGCGGCAGCAGCGCATCCAGTCACCGTGGCGCAGCAACAACAACGCGAGCGCGAGGAGAGAGAACGCGAGGCCAGGGAACGAGACGCGAGGGAACAACGACAACGTGAAACCGAGAACTTGGGGATAAGGGAACACCTGGCTGCAGCCGAGAGACTGCACCGGCAGGCCGAAGCCAGGGATCACGTCGCGGCGCAGCAGAGAGCCGCTTATTATGCAGCGACCGCGCCTCCGACTCAACAGGTACGTTATACCACCTCGTGTGGTCGTAACACGCAACGATCGAAAGAGAACGAGAACCAGGAGAGAACGAGCGCGTTATTTGACGATATTTGACGTGCCTGTTTCTCCTGGTCCATCACTCTCTTTTTTTACAGGGATATCGCCAGCACGTTAATGCCAGTGGTTTTGTTTGACACAGGTGTCTCGGCCGTCGAGCGTACCTGGCAAAGTCGATTATCCACCACCACCGGCGCACTCGAGGACCTCGAAGTCGTCGCTTCCCGTCAGCAGTCTTCACGAGAAACCACCACCGGTGGTAGGGCCGTCGCACAGTTCTCTGCCAAAGGTGGAGCCGAACGTCGGCCTGTTCAGTTACTCGACATACCAGCCACAGTCGTCGTACATGCACGATATAAAGGTGAAGAGCGACGTGGGGCAGCCGCACAAGTCGCTGCCGAGTAAAAGTGGTTTGGCAGGGGGTCTCGAACGGGATCATCACGGTCGAGAGGTTCTTCAAAATCCACCATCGTTGCTGCCTGATCACAAGAGTTCGGTGATAGTGAAGAACGAAGGTCGGGAGCTTCCGAAAGCGCCGACGTCGCAGCAACACTCGCCGAGTCCGAAGATTATACCGTATTTAGGCGTGCAGTCGGTGCCTCCGCAGCACAAGCCGTACGAGTATCGAAGCCCGACGCAGAGTCCGCATCATCTACACCACTTGGACGGGCTACAAGCGACGAAGAGCATACCTCAGAGTCACCACCGGAGCAGTAGCGGGTCCACAACCACCACACAGTTACCCAGTCCGCACGGACATCCGCCGCATTCGCACAATCGACAGTCACCGCACGCTCAGCATCCTCATCAACCACCACATCCATCGCCACCCGAACCACGTTATCTCACTAGGCCGGAACCTGGTCTACCTTACGCTACTGCCAAGTCCTCGTATCCGTATCCACATCCACATCCGCCCACGGCCTCGCCGACTTCGCACTACGCCGCGCCACCGGCAGGTTCTAAGCCGAAAGTTAGCAGTCCAGCGCCGCCTCACATCTACGGAAAACCGAATTCCGGCATCATGACCGGAACGCCGGTCTGCAGAGCGTCTGAGCCGGCGGTCGCCGCCCCGATACCTCTCACCTCGAAGGCCGGTAGCTCGCCTTACCAGCAAGTGCCTCACCATCACGGGGCGCCGCCTCCACCTCTGCCTCCACCCGCGCACAGTAGATCCGTCTACGACCCTAGGGGTTATACTGGCTCGATGCCCGCCGCCAAGTTGCCACCGCCGCCCCTTCACGGTTCACCGCCGACCGCGGCTTCGGCGCCTTTGTCCAGACCGATCGCGCATCCGGCGCATCACACCAGCCCTCACCAGCAACCCGGTCAAACGGTGCAACACGCGCAACCGCAGATCAACACATCTTTCCAAACGCAGCCGCTGGATCTCGGAGTGGAGAGAACAGGCTCGCCGAAGAGGAAGGCCCCAACCCCGTCGTTAACCGAGAATTCCGGCCAACCGGTTTCCCTCGAGGTGTGCAAGAAACGCAGGACCGAGGAACCGCAACCGTTGTCGTTGCAATGCGTTGGACCACCGATTCTCGCGAGAGTGAGCGAGCCGAGCCCGTTGATCGCCTCGGCAGCTACCTCGATAACCACCGTGGTCAACACCACGGTCGCTTTACTGGCCCAATCCAACACTCAAACGACGCAGGAACGCACCGTGACAGCGGTGAGTCCAACGCCGCGAACTGCCAGCGGCGATGGTTCTATCAGACCAGCCAGCACGGGCAGCGTCAGCTCGTTGAATCCGACGATGAGCGCAGCGCCAAGTCCTGCGCCTATTCCCAGTCCAGCGCCATCCACGGCGCCCAGTCCAGCACCTAGTGCTCCTGGCACGCCAGCAAAGGCGAATCCTAGCACGGTGGACAGCGAGAAATCTAACAGTCCAGCGCCCAGACCACCTAGCAGTACCAGTTATCCCGTTCACAAGCTGAAAAAGGCTTGGCTTCAAAGGCATTCCGGCGAAGATGGGACCGAGGACACCACCGGCGTCGTAGGCAGCGGCACATGCGTCACATTGCCTATGAACATTTCCCAGGCACCGTCGCAGTCGCTAAATAACAAAGAACGTGACACCTCTTCGAACGTCTCTAGCAATACGACTACCACGTGTTTGCCCAGCGCCGTCAACTCGATTCATAATATCGGCAGTATGGCGGTGAACAGCATCAACAAGAGCAAGGTCACTGCCAAAAGTAGCCGAAAATCGGCGAACAAAGAATCGTTGAACGGACACGCAACGGACACGAAAACGCTACAAGAAGACTCGTCCAGCAGCGACCCAGAAAGAAAGTCGCCGCCTAAAAGGAAGCCACCCAAGGTATCTATATGGATCGTATCTAACTATATAGTTAAATTTCTAGAATCGTATTCGCTCGTTTCGTTTCGTAGTGTGAGTCATCGTAGCATCTTTTACATTATTCTTGCATGCTTCTCTGAAATAGATGGCGTTTCGAACACGATTGTCATGTCTTTTCTTTTATTCATGTCTATCTGCTCTTTTTCTGGTTGTACGTAGATTCTCGAGTAACATCACGAGTAACGGTGTTTGATCGTTATTGCGCAATTAGTTCGAAGCATTTACTTACTGCGAGACTACTACGTTCAGTACAAAGTTTCTCACGTTTGAACTTCCCGCCGCGTGCGCCGCCATTTTGACAACACTACCTAACACGAGCCACAAGTAGAAAGTAAGTGGCCTCGAACAGTGCGATTAAATGTGTTTTCGCGCAAGTTTTCCGCATTTCGGCACGGATATATGTGTCATACGAATTATCGATCGTGGGATATGCACATGTACCAGTGGATAAAAATGGTAAAGCATGAAATTGGTTACGTTCGACGTATATTCGCGAGCAAGGAGATCTAACCTCAAAATTCAATTGTTTAGGTTCTCTCGCACTTGCACGTTACTCTATAATTCAATTCCGTTATTCATAAAAGAAAAGCAAAAATATTAATTGTTGGCTATTGGCTTTTTCTTCTTTTCTTTCAACTAGACCCTTTAATTTGAAATTATCCGAATAGATTGCATGTGGCGTGTTCGATGTGTTAAATTGGCGTGCTTGCGGTAGGAAGCCACACAGTAGAAACGAACGGCATAAAGAACGATGCGCGTTCGAAGTTCTTCGTAGTTTTCCTTCTTTTCTTTTCTTTCCTTTCTTTTTCTTTTTTTTTTTTTTTTGTCAGTAGTTTCGGCAAGAGCATGAACTTCCTGACTACTTAATAATCTGTGCCCTGTGGTAGGTAAAACGAAAGAAGGGCGCAGCACGGAGGCAGCAAACGACTGCGGAAGATCAGCGGAGGCGAAAAGAAGATAAACAAGGCGGAGGAACTGGCGTAGGCAGTGAGTCTAGTAACGAGAGCGAGGCTGGCTCTGCCAGCGACACCAGCGAACAGTTGGGCTCCATTCAACCCGCGTCGAGGGTGCGGCATACCACGGCCAATTCCAACAATTCCTCGGGAAACGGTTAGTTGACGTAGCTTCTTGTAAATGGACTTCCCATCAGGTGAACTAACTATTCACTTGCAGGGTAAGTGATCCGCGTTCCATGGTCATACACTTACTCCATCTCCGTGTAGAGCTGTGCGAGAACTTGAGAAATTAAGGAATAAATCTTCTCAAATGCAATTGTTTGAAGTTCCTTTTGGTAGTTGCAATGCAAATTCGATGGAATTAAATAGAAATTTTCTTTATGGGTTAACCCCAAAAGATTTTTACTTGTTTGGTCCTTTCTTAAACTTCCTGATACTCTTTAGATTCGCCAAGCTCTTAGAACCTTTGTTATCCGGTTTCACACACTTACCCTGTTTCGGTATGAAGCGACATTTCCTTCATGTATTGATTAATTGTTAGGAGAGTAAAGATGATGACAAACAAAAGATTGATATGCACATCCGTGAAAATGCAAATAACATAATGAGCTTTTTAACTCTGAATTAAATTGTTTGTGCCATAAGTGACCAGATGAAATATTGTTCGTTGTTACTTAAGTAGATTGTATTATTTGTTCAACAGGAAACAACAAGGAGCCCAGGAAACGGGGTAGGAGACCAAAGACTACGAAAGGTAACGAATTGGGCGGGGAAGATCAGCAACCTCGTCAGAAGAAAGAACGTAGAGATGATAGCGCCAGTGGTGGTAACAATGGGCCAGGTGGAAGCGGTGGCAGGGGTGATCCCTTTCGTAGACCCCCGATATCGCAATTAAAAAAAACTGGCGACAGTTGGTTGCAAGACGGCGCTTGCTTCGAAGTAGCTCCGAAGTTGGCTAAATGTCGTGAGTGCAGATGGACACCACACCAGCGTTCGAAAAATCTTCCTCAAAATATTTTCTGCAGATTTTATGCATTCCGTAGATTACGGTATACAAAAAATGGACAGTTGGCTATAGCAGGATTTAGCGACCCCCATAAGGACGCGTCTGAGGTAAATATTATGAATGTTTACGTCTTTCGTCAACGCTAGAACTATCAGAAATTACAAAAATATATTTAATGTACATTAATTATTTAAATCACAAAAAGATATATATAAGTAAAAGCTTGCATTGTTTATTTCATTTCCTTTCAAACTTTTTTCTTATTTCTTGTTCACTTTTAACATTTTATTTAATATTTTAATAATTGGGGTAATTATAATGCAGTAACAATAACCATTTTGTTTCTGTGTTACAGGTAGATCTCCGATTATGGTTACCAGGAAAAGAGAGTTCGGACTCGAAGAAGGACGAGAAGCCCGATAAGAACGACAAAGAAAAAAGCGACAAAGAAGATCTAGATTTGGAAATGGCTCACAGGCTACTTCGCCAGGTCGGAGATCAGTTCTGTGATCTATTGCATCAAGAAAAGGATGCTCTTCAACAGCACATGGCAGAAGGTAAATTTTTGATATTGAATTTTCAACATTTTGGCAACTCGGATGTATTCCAAGATACAAAAACTTTATATCAATGTTTATATATACTTTATGCATGTTTCATGATATCGATGTTACCTACTTTTGTAAGATACTGTTAAGAATAAATTTTAAGGAAGAAATGGAGTATAGCATGAAATTTGATTAGCGTTTCTTTTCATTTTTATCAATTATGTACATCATAAATTTTCGTAAGCATGTAATTACATGTAAGCAAAGTTGCTTCGTATATTTCCTTTGTTCGCATGATTTAACGCTTTGCGTATCGATTGTTTCTTCACCTTGACAGCAAGTTCGGGACTTGTAGACGGAACAGTCGCCTGGAAGAGAGTGGTGCAAGGCGTTCGTGAGATGTGCGATGTCTGTGAGACGACCCTGTTCAACTATCATTGGGCTTGCGGAAAATGTGGCTTCGTCGTGTGCATCGATTGTTACAAGGTAAATAAGATGATAAATTTTGTCTTTGTGACTTTGTTCACTCGCAAAATATGATGATAAATAATCCCTTGAAATACACGTGATATTAATAAAATATTGAGCTTTTTAACACTGACGCATATAAAGCGTTGTATTAGGCATCTGAATTTTTCTTCACGGTGATCTTACAAATTATAAAAAACATTATTAGGGACGCAAGAATGGCACGATTAAGATCTGGGGAGAGAGCGGCAAGGACAGAGACGATTTTTCGTGGCTTTTGTGCACAAATAGGCAGGTGCACGAACCCGAACGACTTATGCTCACGCAAATCATCGCCGGCGACAGCCTGATACGTCTCGGCCAACGACTACACGAATGCCGCGTAGAATGGGGCATACCGCAACACTGTGGCTGCTCGCTTGTTGTTCAAGCATCGCCAAACGAGTATCTACGGAACATGATCAAAGGTGACTCGGTACCGGTTCTGAACGGCAACGTCAAGCAGGAAGTGAAAGAAGAGAAGAAAGTGAACGAGTCGAACGGATCGTCGGAGAACAAAACAAACGGCGAGGACAAAAACTCTCCGCTGAACTGGCTGGCGGACGTAGCGCTGCAGAATCAGGATAAAAATGAGAGTGGTTCTAGCTCGGATTCCGATGAAGATCGTGATGGTAATTACTCGACCTTGAGGGAATTGCTTATCCGACCGTCCCACAAGTCAAACGGCAGCGGTTCTAGATCGAATTCACCGACGAACAACTCCGGCAACGTCAACGTTGCCGCCGGGAACAACGCGCAAAACAACGTCACGAAATCTAGTAAAAAGTCAAAGATGGATACATTGGACGAGGTTATATCGAGCGTGATCGAGCACAGCGTGAAGAAGGAGAGGGAAGGTGAATTGGACGATGAGAAACCGAGGGAATTGAAGCACTTCGTCAGAAGATACAAATGGACGCAGAAGGGACGGGAACCGTTGCCCATTCGAATCATGACGCTTACGGAGAGTAAAAGTCTTTACCCGGATGTGCCGCACTCGTGGCTCTGCGACGGGAAATTGCTGAGGTTAAACGACCCGAACAATCCAAACAATTACAGAATATTCCAAGATCAGTGGAAACGCGGGCAGCCGGTCATCGTGTCGGATGTTGCGAAATCATTGGACATGAATCTGTGGCATCCGGACTCGTTCGCCCGAGACTTCGGCGACGAGAAGAACGACTTGATCAACTGTATGACCGGGAATTTGGTGCCGAATCAACCGATGCGTAAATTCTGGGAAGGATTCGAACATTTCTCCAAGAGACTGAAGGACGAGAGAGGAAATCCAATGTTGCTGAAGCTGAAAGACTGGCCGCCTGGTGAAGATTTCGCAGAGTTATTGCCATCGAGGTTCGCGGATCTGATGAAAGTTTTGCCGTTGTCGGAATACACCCATCGGAACGGAAGATTGAATTTGGCCAGTCGTTTGCCGGACTGCTTCGTGAGACCAGATTTGGGACCCAAAATGTACAACGCTTATGGATCGGCCCTTCATCCTAACAAGGGAACAACTAACCTTCATCTAGATATATCTGACGCAGTGAATGTCATGGTTTACGTAGGAATACCGAAGGATGCCGATAACGACGAACATGTTAAAGGTATTTGTTGTCACTTTATTTTCTTTGCGGAGTAAAATTACGTTTCGAAAAATTCACAATTTTGATTTGTATTAACATTGCAGAAGCACTGCGAGCGATAGATGAAGCCGGCTGTGACATTCTGACACGCCGACGCGTTCGCGAACGCGGAGAAGCACCAGGCGCGTTGTGGCACATCTATGCAGCGCGAGATGCCGATAAAATCAGGGATCTCTTGAACGCAGTTGCTTTGGAACGCGGTGCCCGTTTGGAACCGCATCACGATCCAATTCACGATCAGAGCTGTTACCTCGATGGACCTTTGCGAGAACGATTGTATCGCGAATACGGCGTTGAAGGGTAGGCATTGCAAATCATTTGCTGATTTTTACGTCATTCGTATCTGTTTAGCACTTGTGCAGAAACAAAAACTCGTCTCTCCTGTTACAGGTATGCTATCGTACAGTGCCTAGGCGATGCAGTATTCGTACCAGCTGGCGCGCCGCATCAAGTCCGCAATCTTCACAACTGTATAAAGGTGGCGGAAGATTTCGTATCTCCGGAGAACGTGTCGCATTGCTTCCATTTAACGCAAGAATTCCGTGCGCTATCCGACACACACACAAACCACGAGGACAAATTGCAAATTAAGAATATAATCTATCATGCGGTGAAGGATTCTTTGGCCGTGTTGAGCAACGTGAAGGAAGAGACACTTGCCAAGGTGAAGTCGAATAATGAGATGAAGAAGGAGGAGACGTAGCCCTAGGCCCCCTGTCGCGGTCGCAAGAGCCGTTGGTCGTTGTTTGACTAAAGTCTCGCTGTACCAGTGAGTGTGCAAATCTGTTATCCGGTCCGTGTATCGGTCCCCCGAGTAGCATATGTCCCGGGATCCGATTCGAGACGACAGGAGGATTAATTCTAAGATGCTCCGGAAACAAAAAAGAAAAAAACAAAAAAACAAAAAAAAAAAAAGGAAAGAAAGAAAGAAACCTGTATCGAGGTGCAAGAATTTGTTGTGATATTTAATGAGTAACTCAAGTTTGATTTTTGTCGATATTGGCTGAGCCAATGAGATTATTCGTTGTTTCATTTGAATTTCCTTTTTACGCATACTTTTTTCCTTTCTCTCGAGCTACGTGCTCGCGGACATGAAGCCCGCGAGTTTTTCTTTTCATTGAGGTTTCATGGAGTCGGTGACGCGAAACCCTTGCACGCGCGTACGCCGCGTCCGTTATCATTGTGATACCAGGAGGAGGACTTTGGATCATGCATTATTTGTAATTACTTATATCGTGCCTGTATTCAATACATACTGTCTATATTATATAAATGTAGATAATGGATTATTGTGTAATGAATTCTTACTAGTAACTACGAAAAAGAAAAAAAAAAAAGGATCGTCTAGAGGTACCTTTGTGCAATTAGATGTCGATTAAATTTGTTAGCTGGATCAGTGATGTACTTGTCGATCCACGTTATGTGCTCTCGTGATCTGGTGCTTTTCGATATCGATTTAACGGAAGCAAAAAGGAAAAAAAAAAATGGTAAAGCGCTTTGCCAAATGGCCGATATATATTTCTCGCCATCGTTCTTGTGTTTCGCGTGGCACACGAGCATTAGAGGAGAAAACACTGCCTAAGCTGTTTGCGTCGATCTGTTTTATGGATTAAGGTGACTCGATCATCGCTCGTTAACGCGTACTACACGTGATAAATCGCAGTTCGACTTCCTCGGGTACATACGTTTATCAGTTTGTCTTTCTTCTTCGAAACATATATCGGCTATACGGAGCAAAGTTTCGTTCGAAGGTTTGTATGTGACCATCGTCGTTTAAAGTAAGGCATCAGAACAAAAATAACAAGAGAAAATAATGGCTGAAACAAAAACAATGGCTGAATCTTTCGATACTATGTTCGCGGGGATACGAGATATCGACGAGATATAGATTCGATTGAATTTATTGTTTTTTATAGATCGGATTTAACGTTATGTGACCCAGTAATGACCCAGTAAAAATTAAAAGTAAGATGAAAACAAGAGGTAAAGGGGAAAAGAAAAGAACGAAAAAGAGAAGTAAAAAGAATTTGTTATTTTTGTCGAATCACGCGAAACCGTCTATCAGCGATAGAGCAGCGATATTCTAATTGTATTATAACTAATATCGATAAACTAATGGTAACATTATTTAATGCAAAGTAATACAAAGCTGTAAACGATTTTCGAAGTGCCAATGTTGAACGACGTGGACATTCTCACGTGTTTACACGTTGTGTATCGTACGCGTATAGGTAGGCAAGAAAAAGAAGAGACGGGGAAAAAAGGAAGAATTACAGATTAGTCATGCAGAATTCACAGATGAGAGGCCGAGTTCCTATCATTCAACTTTTCTCGTATAGAACAAACCGCTGCTATTCACACGATATGTTGCGCAATGTCTGAATCCTTGAAAGCCATTGCCGTCTTCGTTCATTGTGTTCCACGATGATGTTTCTCACACGCTCGCAAACCGGGCAGTATCATAGCTGTGCGTTCACGGTCTGTTCACAGAAAAAAAAAGAGAGACAGACGAAAGAAAAGGAACAAAAACAGAGAAAAGTTAAAAAAGGAAGAAAAAAGAGGAAGACAGTAGTTTTCGAGGACAGACGCATGTAATTTAGCGTCTCGCGCTGTTGGTGCGCTTATCGATCGTCAGATATTCTCCACTGCTGGTAATCTCGAAACCGACGTGTAAGCAACAAGCGAAGAAACAAAGGAAATAAAAAAATAAAAGCAAATCACTGGAATCCTGGAATCCGCAATTTCTTTGATCTCAACATTCGTCTAGCATACAACGACTTTGATTAAAATAATATTTAACGAATAAATTTTTAAATATCTTAGTGTCGATAAGTAACGTTAATATTAACGGAAATTATAACAAGAAAAAAAAAATAAATAAAAAAGTACCCTTATTATTCACAAACGACGATAATGATAATGATAATTGATGATAAACGACGATGTATAAAGTTATAGAGAAAAAGAAGAAAAAAAAAAAAACAAAATATGCATACTCTGTGTATTATTGCTGCAGACAAAGCTATTGTTCGTTCTCCCGCTACGTGTATGTAAATACATTTATACATACTTATATGTATACATATACATATATAAATACGAAAGAAAGTAGACTCTAAGGGATTACACACTCCATAAAACGTGGACAAGAAAAAAAAAAAAGATACACACACACGTAGATAGATAGTTTATTATACCATTATTAATTATTATGATTATGATTATCATTATTACGATTAATTATTACGAAAAGAAAACCGATATTTAAATGTTGCTGATTACGTGGCGAAAAAAAAAGCACGACTATCGAGCGTCTAGTGTATAAATGAAGAGTGATTACGGAAGATTGCTTGCGTGAACGCGTGGCGTGTGTTGACTTTTTTTTTTCCGAACGAAATTTGTGGGAAGAATGCACGAGAAAGTGAGAGAGAATGTGAACAAGGGGCCGTGTATTGGGGGCGGAGTGGAATGGATGAGACAATTGTACAGCCCTTAAAACTCCTACAAAATATCCACCCCCAAAGTCCTACACTAGCCCATCACCGGTCGCCCCCAGTCATAGCAATTATGAACCGCGGGCCGGCAGGTCTGAGTATAATTTTTTGTACTGTGTAAATGTAAGAACATACGTTTGAATAAGAAAAATTTTTTTATTAAAAAAAAAAAAAAAAAAAAAAAAAAAAATACAGTTTGCGTACTTTTATTCAACTACATTCAATCGTATTCTCAAATACAAATCGAGCCACGTGCGTGGGAAATACGAATTCTCTTTCCAAGTTGCAACAAATGCTTAAGACTCGATCCTATTACGAAACTTGTTGCGCCGATCTAGCACGCTAACTTGTTGCTTATTGGCAAAAGTTTCGACAGTGATTTCTCTCAGTATAGTTAAGTATATTAAAGTATCGATCGTATCGACGTGTCTTGATATCTTTAAATTAGATTGGGACGTTTAAATTTCAGATCGCTATTAATAGTTGCACAGAGAGAGAGAGAGAGAGAGAGAGAGAGAAAGAAAGAGTCGAGTATCGAGAGTGGCAGAGTATGAAGATGAACGATTCATTGATCGTGTTGCCTCCACGTTACCGACGAGAAATCGATTCCGTGCATCTGTCGCGTCAACGAATTCAGCTCAACATCTTACGAATCGTAAGAATCTCGAGCCGTTTCCCGGTAGCTCTGCGAGCAGAGTCTTCCTTCGGAAGTATATTAATACGTGGTTGATATTCGAGCGCGCGCATCGAAACACGTACCGATACGTGTCCGGATTGTAATACACACTAGCAAACGATTCTGCTTCCGCTCCAAAACACACCTGGCTTGTTTCCGGGCGTTGAATTTGCACGAAATCGTACAAGACCGCGGGGGACTCGGCGGAGAGGCTTTTGACGCTGGCTATACTCGGCCAATGATAGCATATCCGGCGTGAGAAGGACAGACGACCGATAAACTATGGCACAAGCCTGTGGTGGTTAAATGTACGTGTACAGTGTCGCCTACACATTCATGCTTTCAAGATGGCGCTCAACCTGCGGAGAGAGAGACGATCGAGCGTCTGAACGGATCTGCTATAGCTGTGTCAAGCGTCGGACAATGAACGAGTGCCGGACCGATTTGCTGCTCGTTTTTGTCGTCGCTTCGACCAGTCAGTCATCGTAAGGACAGTGTCGTGCGTTTCGGTGCAAGGGCAAAATGTGTAGCCACAGACAGGGGATCGTTAGGATAGAGTCGGAAACGAGTACGTGCTAGTGGCAATTCCTCGGTTATGTCAGTGTGTTAAGTCAAAATGGCAGCCACGTTAACTGTCGAGCAGGAACAGGTAAGCGATTATCCTATCGCCTCTTTGAGGATACATCGTGTACGAACAGATTGTTTCCCGACGGATCTCGCCGACATCTCGAGGCGATCGATTCTCTTTTTTCTCGTTCTCGATGTACCTGCACCACGTACGCGTGTACGACCGCGTAATATAAACATTGCTCGTTTCTCTCTAGTTGCCGTTTCGATCTTTTCGATGATTTTCAACGGGAACGACGAGGAAAATAAATTTTCGTTTCACCCTGTAAAGCTTCGGGAATATCCCTCGACAATGACGATTATTCCGTTCAACGTTGGATATTTTAAACAACCGCGGTGAAATCATCAGTGTTTGTACTAGATATATTGTTATCCTAACAACTCTCGTGACTCTTTTGTCGTTTGTACTCTTTGTGTAATTCGACATTCCATTCCTTATCGGTGTTTCAAGATTTTCCTATGGTTTTTTCTTTTATAAAAATTGTTACGTACTATGCGAATAAATCATCGAATAGCACGCGATTTATAGTCAAAAGATTTTATAGAGACCGTTATGAGGAGGACAGCGAACATTTTGCTTCGAAAATTCAAGTGAGAAATGGAGTAGAACCGTGTCTTTTTCTTATACTAGAAACGTGACATTGGAAATGAAACAAAGCGAGAACTGTCGCTTAGTAAAGTTTTATTGAAGTATCGATTCACGATATTAAATTTCTTGACCCTGGAACGAATCTATCCATTTACCGCACCGGTCCCCGGCGAGCGTACTATGGCGGAAGTTGCCGGTGGGTAGGTAGTCGGGACACCGGAAGTTATATCGGTACCCAGGGCATGTACACAAATCATTGACGAATGACTGTTGCGCGTTTCGACAGTGTAGAAATGTTGCGAGACTATCCCATTGTTCTGAGACCTTCATTGGTCTCAACCTTCTTTGATGATTATCTTCCTCTCATTAGAATTCCATTCTATAAATTGGAGCATGTCGTTTGAAATATACAATCATTTAAGCAACGTAACTCGCGATCTTGGTCTTGAATTTCGACGAGACAAATTTCAGAGTTTAATGACACGTGGATTGTAGAAAGATTTGATTAATTAAACCTTGATTCGATTAATGAATTTTCCCTCGTATTTGCAGGCCACGAAAGAGTTTATAGAAGCTGTTAATAAATGTCGGGCCGGAAGAAGAGCCGGTCCAGTGTCATGGAGCACGGCTGTGAAATTCTTGACAGCGAGAAAATTCGAAGTGGCGAGAGCATTGGCGTTGTACGAACAGCACGAGGCCACCAGAAGGCGAGAGGGTCTTGCACTTTTGTACCCTACTCAGGAACCATTGCTCAGTGAATTACGCACAGGGAAATTCACAGTTTTAGTAAGTTGCTAATTTGATGAAAAGAGATTATCTGTATTTCGATGATCAAAATTAAAATATATTCCTTATCAACGTATTATATTTCTTATTAATTATGTAGTATTTACCCGATGTACAATGTTGTAGCCTTCGCGAGATGCTACAGGGGCAGCCATAGCTATTTTTACAGCACATTTACACCTTCCGCAAAACACCACGCACCAGACGACGTTACAAGTGAGTGTCTCAATGCCGTGTGCATTTTTCTAAGTATGATTTAGAAAATCACATGTGAGTTAAACTGCTAATAATGGAACTTTCTCTGTCTCGTTACAGGGTGTGGTGTACCAGTTAGATGCAGCGTTAGAAAGCGTAGAAACTCAAAAGCACGGTCTGGTTTTTATTTATGACATGTCGGATAGCAAATACCAGAATTTCGACTATGACCTCTCGCAAAAGATTCTCACCCTGTTAAAGGTAAGTTTCACACCCGTGTAACCGCACTCGTCCACAGCACCTGTCGTCTACATACACATCCCTTGTACATATACATACATATTAATTAGTTACTCTCGTCGAGCGAGATAGAAAAAAGAAACCTAGAAGTAGTGCTAGAATGATGAAACAGTAATTAAATTTAAGTCAGATATTATAAACACTGTTAAACTTTGAATAAATAAATGTGTTACTTTCTGACAGAAGATTAATACTCCCGCGACTCGCAACAAATTTTAGTAATTTACCTTGGTTTCATTCACGAGTCTACACCCGGGGTTGACACAGGGCTCCGAGAAACAAAGAGAGGCATTGTTGCTAGCAACAGATCGTTCCGAATGTAGGCCATTATCTTTACACAGGAAATTTAATCAACATCTTTGGCTTTTATTCGTACCACGGACGAAATCAGACCGTGTAATGCACGCGTGTTGTTACACTGCGAAAAAGATTGCCGGCGTAATACGCGGACGCGTAACACGCTAGAAAATATATTCGAAACGGCCGTGTGTCGGATACGTGATGCACGTATGTTTCAGTTGGTGGCGCAAAAGGGAAGGAGTAGGTCGCTTGGAATCCCGATTACGTAATACCGAGAGCAATGCATAAAGTGATTCCGAAGCGTCTGTTTCGAGCAGGGTACGTGGAAGGGTGCATCTCGAAGAATAGGGAGGCTCAAGGGGGTTGTTAACGCTTCACGAAAACTCACTTACAATTGCTCAGTGAGCCGCGCGTTGTTAAGCAGAGGCAAGGGATTTCCGATGGTTTCGCCGAAGAGCGACGCAGTTATAGGATATTTATGAAACTATTTCTAACAACATTTTTACGTCAGCCAGCACCGGGGATAAAAATAATCGTCTGTTTAGTCCGGTTGTTTATTAGGAACCAGAGATAAGGTTAAATTCTATTCTGAAACGCGTGTTTCTCGGGAAGCGTATAAATGGGGAAACGTGATGGCGCGTTTTCTATTCATTTCCCGCTCTGTTGTACTATATCTGTCGCAGATAGACCACGATTTTTTTTCTCATCTTCCCGATAAAATTTCGTTGTTTTATCGGTCGTCATCGACTGATGAAAATTAATGCTCCTACGATAAAAAGGAAAAAGGAACGAGAAAAGAAAAAAAAAAGAACAGGGAAACAGGTATCACGCCGGTGAAGGTGATATTTTGTTTACGTAGACGGTTTTTGCGGTTAAAAATAATTTCGGGTGCGCGTTCTAGTTTCAACGGTGGCGAGTTGTTAAAGGTTGATAACCCCCGCGCGGGTGCACGTAACACATTCACGTATTCCAACGAATTCTGATTGCCCGAGTGCTGCCCGGACGTAACGGAAGAATGGGCTTAGGTTCCCCCGGGGTTGAGAGACACTGACGTAATACGTCACCGCACGTAGGATCGCACCTTTGCCCAGAGGGGGAAAAGAAATTCGCGTAAGGGATGCTAGAGCGGTGGTAAAAAGAAGGGGTCGTTGGCGCGCATGCGCGCGTACGCGGGATAACGTCGCGACGCTCGTGGTCAGTAATCATCGTGACCCCTTTGCGGCATTATCGTGCACAGATCGAACAAGAAGTTGCAACCTGATTCCGCTGTAATTTCTTCGAATTGCCGGAATCGTCGTGCTGCTCGTTTCGAAACGGTCCGGCGACGCGACGGATGACGTCGTGACGTGATAATCGTAGTGACCGTGTACGTAGCGCGCGCAAGAGAGAGTGAGAGAGTGTGTGTGTGTGTGTGTGAGAGAGAGAGAGAGAGAGAGAGAGGGAGGGAGAGTTATGCCCGTCAACCGTGGAAAACGGTTATTCTAATTTCACGCTATCGATTGACTGACCGAGTGTCGGCAGTGATTTCGATTCCATCGATTCGACGACCGCTGGACATATGCCCGTTGGTGATTAATCGAGAATTTTCGATCAGGAGCAGTTATTTGTCGCCCGTTTACAAGACAATCCACGTTCCATGATCCGCCTTGGTTGATCGCCGAGCGCGATTCGTGTCATCGATGCCCGATAAAAATATTCGCTTGCGGTGCAGTCTCTTCCCCGCGGCACACGGTAAACGAGAATTCTGATTCTATTGATTGATCGTGCCCGAGTTGTGCTCTGTCACGCCGAAATTCAACGTATGTGATTCTCTTGATCTCGATTTTCATACGTTCGCGAAGGGTAATCTTTCTCCGTGCATTGTACGACCGACAAAACATCGTTCTCGATTGGTTCGAAATGGCTTCGGGGATCGTCGACACTATTTCTTCGTGTTTTCGCGGGGTTTCGATGTAATAGGGTTTTGTGCGCTTAAGATCGCAGAGGTGTAGTGGTGCTGCTGCTGACGTCGTCGCCGTTACTTCCGCCCTCTATACACACTATACAAAGGGTACCGAGGGTTAAGTCACCGTGTTCCGTGTGCGTTTTACACAACGCGGAGAACCGAGAAAGATCCTTTTCTTCTTTTTTTTTTCTTTCTTTCTTTCTTTCTTTTTTCTCGCGCGTCACGCGCCGTTTTCCTATTGATCCGAAATCTCGGATGTTCGTCGACCCCGTGGCTTGTGAATCGTTGTCCCAGTTCGATTAAATTCTGCATCGTTTGACGCGACGCACCAAAGTAGCCTGCGAGAGAGAGGTTTACCGTTAAATTGGATCGAAACTCGTGTGCCACGTAATACCTAGTAGTTTTCCTTTAATACGGAACCCCCTCGCGTGTTGAACATATATTTCGGGGATTGCTTGCAGTTGGCACTAAAGCGTAACTCTCGGTTTATACACTATTCTATTATTGCACCGTCTTGCAAAGGTCAAATTTGAAAGTCGCTCCATTTCGAAAATAAATCATGCACTCGCGTTAACCGGTCGTTTTCTCTTCTTGTTTTCTTCTTTTAAAATCTTTCATCTTTGACACACACACGCACGCACACACACACACAGTGCGTAATTCTCTTCTTCTTTTTTTATAATAGTACTAATGTACAGAAATAAACCGTATCATCGATTATTCGATCATTCTTTTTTTATTCCATTATTTCTGCAGTGTACCTGCGTAAATAATTCGTTTATAAATACGTATGTGGTCTTACGCTCTGTATTGCATATAATATGGAAAATGTAAATATTCAACTGCAGTGATTTCAGTGAAATACACGTACTATAACGATGTCGTGTTGCTTTCAGGGTGGTTATCCAGCTAAATTAAAAAAGGTCCTAATAGTGACTGCGCCGCTGTGGTTCAAAGCTCCCTTCAAGATCCTTCGATTATTCGTGCGTGAGAAGTTGAGGGACAGAGTATTCACCGTATCCATTCCCCAATTAACATTACATATCCCGCGGGAATCATTACCGCATCGCTTGGGCGGCACATTGGAGATACAGCATGAGGCATGGCTTCTCCACTGTCTTAAATCCATGACAAACAGGGGAGGGGGTGAACTTTGCGAGGTCGGTGGCCTGATGAAGTTTATCTGACATTTCATCCATCGAAGGAGTCATCGTGGAACTTTTTATGTTTGCAGGTTACCCCCAGAGTGGGTACTCCTCTTTCGCCCACGTCGAAAAGTCACACGGTTCATCAAAATCCCAATGGAACAGTCAGTAGCTCAACTAGTCCTATAATCGATAAGAACAAAGTGAAAAATGGTATCTCTAATATCGGAGATATCGAGATCACGAATGGTGATGCCTGGATGGGAACCGATGAGGCACCATCTCCAGTTCAGCCTCCGTCCTCAGCTAGTTCGGGTTTTAGCGACGACGACAGCCTACACGGGGATCTTGGCATTCAGGCCGTTACCATGGAACAACTTATTGAAGAGATCCATTCGCGAGGACGCGCAGGACTCATAGCAGAGTACGCGGAAATTAGGCAAAGACCGCCCGAAGGTTCCTTCAACAACGCAAAGTACGTAAATGGCTGTATTCTAATACTAACACTATCGACGACTATAATAGATAAACTTATATCAGAAAAATGAAAATGCAAGGGATACGATAAACTAAGTTCTGTGGACTTTTATCTCAAAATTTTTTATTAAAATAATACTGGTTATTTGCAGTATATGAACTATTATAATCTAAGAGCGACGTGTAGAACTTAGTAAAAAATTCAAGCTTTTGTACCTTGAATTGAATACTGAAACATTGAATACTTGTGAAATTCTGATAATTTTAATATATTTCATAGAATCATTATTCTAGTTTAAACGATTTTAATGTATTTTTTTAGATTAAGATCGAATCAATCGAAGAACCGGTATACAGACGTGCTCTGCTACGATCATAGTAGAGTGTGTCTATCACAGATAGACGGAGACGCGACGTCGGATTATATAAATGCTAATTTTGTTGATGGTTACAAACAGAAGAATGCGTTTATTAGTACCCAAGGGCCGCTGCCGAAAACTTGCGGAGATTTTTGGAGAATGATTTGGGAACAGCAAACTCTCGTTGTCGTTATGACTACAAGGTAGATTAACAAACACGTATTGTCATGTTGCTTAATGTTCAATTAGAAGAAGATGATCCTATGATTTTTAACGTGATTTCAGAGTGGTGGAAAGAGGACGCACGAAATGTGCACAATATTGGGGTCCAGAGCCGGGTGACGAAGTACAAGCGGGTGGTTTTACAGTAACCACTCTCGAAGTTGATACGAATCCTGATTACACGATATCAATGCTTCTCCTTACAAACAACAAGGTGTGCGTCGATGCTCGTTTAACTTTCAAGGACGAAAACTAAAACACGCTCGGTTGTTTAGAAAGTTTTAATCGATAAATATATTGCACTTTTATTTCAGACTGACGAGGCAAGAGAAGTTTGCCACATGCTGTACACCGCGTGGCCGGATTACGGTGTTCCACAATCGGCCAGAGCTCTGTTACAGTTTCTAGCCTTAGTAAGACAACAACAAAATAAGTTACTTGCTAGCAGAGGGGATACGTGGGCCGGACATCCACGAGGACCTCCTATAGTTGTTCATTGCAGTGCTGGAATAGGAAGGACAGGTATAAATCTCGATAGAATACGTTTTTCAACGAAAACGTTCAAATAAACGGAAAGGAAACATTTATTATAAAATACATTATGTTTGTAGGAACATTTTGCACGTTAGATATTTGCATATCGCGACTAGAAGACACTGGAACTGTAGACATCCGTGGAACCGTCGAAAAAATCCGAGCACAGAGGGCCTACAGTATTCAAATGCCAGACCAATACGTTTTCTGTCATCGTGCTCTGGCAGAGTACGCACTTTCCAGAGGGATGCTTAGTTCGCAACATCTTGCTATGTTACCTCCAACCACAGAAGAAGATTCTGACTAGAGTGTAACCTCTATTATCATGTACCAGATTGATGTTCTTCCCGAGTATGCATAGCAGTCTTACATAGCCTATTTCTAGCTTAAATAACTAAAAGTTATTTTTTGCTATCATCTCCATCGATGTAATATTTCGAATTTCTACTCTTATGTTAGGCTGTATGTTTAGAGAATATCTAAAGAAAGACTAGTTTTTTCAAGGCCAAATGTGCAGACAGAAATCATTCGTTCCTTGGTATTTTGCTCTGTGAACGATCCAATGTTAAGGAGAAATGACGCGGTCGCGTCAATTAGAAACGGCTGTCCGAGTAATAGCACAAAACGCGGCATAATCGGATCTGCCGATCCAATTTTAACCCTCTCATATGTAAATTTTATTGTACATTTTAAAAGGTGGCTAACGAGTTATTTAAAACTTGTAAAGTACGAAATGCCTTACTTTATAAACATTCCATTTGAGAACAATTACTATGTCAATTAAATTAACGTGTAATGTATACGAGTATGTGAATTATGCTATTTCATAGATTTAAACAACTTTTCTTGTATTCTGTGTTACACGTAACAGGGATTAACATTATGAGGCTTAACGCTGCAACTAATAAACTATAGTCTCATTGTTACGGATATTTATATACGGATATTTAGTTGGTATATTATTATATGGATTACTAAGTTCGATAGATAAATAATTGATAGTATTTTCTTTTATAACGATATATTTAGTTATTTTTACGTTATTGCGCAATACCAATTCGTACCAATCACTAAATCGTGATTGATTGCATTATTTGTTGAAATAAGTAGCTTCGCATTTTTATCATTTACGACTTGATAGAATTTGACGCTGGTTTTGTTGAACTCGCGCTTTAACAAAAACGTTACATGCTAGTTGATCTTTGTTGCTTTTTACGAGTCTTTCATACTTTGAACACCTGTCTAAAAAAATTAAATTATCAAGTACAAAGGATATATTGTTATAGAATCTTTATATGAGAGGGTTAAACTTGTAAAACTGATTTATTAAGAATGAAGACCTAAAGAAGATTTATTAAGAATGACTTTACAAAAAAAAAGAAAAAAATAAGAGATAAGAATGTTGCGGAAAATCACAAAACTATGGAAGATATAATTTAAACGGCCGACTGAGCCACTGATGTATAAGATTTAAAGACCTACAAATATTATTATTAATATGTTACAACGGCTTCCGCCATACAGGAACTAAGTAACTACGATCGTATTAAATAGGCATTTTTGGGTAACCAAAGATTATCTCCCATACACTGTCTCAGAACGATTACAATTGAATCGTATCTGGATGTAGCTGGCTGACATTTTACGAAAAAAAAATTCCCAGGGATCATTGCATAGATTAAAAATACTTCCAATTCGATAAAATATTATTAAAAAGGATTTAGAATCGGATCGAACTTCTGAAGGAGGTGCAGGGGGGGGGGGGGGTGAATGAACACAACTAGTTTACCTCGAGAATCAAACGTGCTTCGTTCTAGCAATGATAGGATTTTTTAAAGATCTTAGTGCAAGAATACCATGCAAATTCAAATTCACGCGCTCTTCCATGGAAAGCCTTCGTGTACGATACGAGAATAAGAGAAAGAGAACAATGTGATTTAAATAATTTAAATTCTTAGGAGGTCGATTACACTTTTTGAACTTTGTTACGTTGATGCTATCATGAAACGTGTAAACTTTTTCAATTCACGCTTAAATTATATCAGATATTCCATTTATGGAAGAATCAATAGGTTTTGAATCATCGTTGAACTATTTTCGATTTCTCGGCAGCTTTCTCAACAACGTAATCTCATCTAAAACAAAGTGTATTTAAAGATAGAGATACACGAAGAAAGTACGCAAATACTGATATAATTTAAGAGCGTGTACAAAATGTGCTGTTGTAGATGCTAATGCTTTTTAATACAAATTTTTAACATTTGCTCGTTAAAAGGCATAAACATGCTAAGAGGTTTTTTAAACGATGCGTTGTGAAATGAAGCGCGCTTATAACGAAAGCAGGAAATAATAGTAGAAATTCTGTTCTAAACCATGTTCACATAGATGTTTTACCTCAGAATTTCTTATTACATGCAGTTTAAAACATCCTAAATATCGATGTCGATCGATGTCCGATTTATAGCTACCACTTTGTCTAACCGTCTATTTGTTGAATGTATATTATAATAGTTGCAAGGAAATCGTAATACTAAATTGTTGTTAACAAAAGCAATGGGATATTACAATGAATTTTTCTTGTGTCATTGAATTCGATGTATAATACGGAATTTTAACGGAGACATCGTGAATTTGTTATTATATTGCGAAGTATGATATGTGATAGCCGTTCTAGGATATTCTCGATATTACAATTTTGTTTCTTCTCTCTCTCTCTCTCTCTCTCTCTCTCTCTCTCTCTCTCTCTCTCTCTCTCTTTCTTTCTTTCTTTCTCTCTCTTCGCTTATAAGAACGCTGCCATGTTAACGTAAATGTTTAATTACGTATCTTTGCGTTTTATTTAAATTTTATATTCTATATATAGATTTACCTGATCGACTTAATCTTGTAATTTATTCGTTTCAATTTTGCCATTTATGCACTAGACGATGCCAATGAACTCATAGGAATCTTCATTTTCTTTCTTTTTTTTTCTTTTTGTCGAGAGGAAAAAAAACTTTGCCCAGAACCCAATATATGCGTGTATTTTCTGTACAGTCTGTATATTATGCGCAAAAAAAAAAAATTTTCGCGGTGTCACTTCGATTGGTTTATCGATCCATCACGATCTATCGATAGTGAACCGTTTGTTAGGAATATCTTCGAATTTTATATAAACGAAATGAAAAAGCGCTGTTATACTAAATGCTTAGTCAGACTTAAAATAAGTTTCGAACGATTTTTAATATAATACACGTTCCTCCTACTCTTGGGTTACCTTATAAAGGGCATGCTGTCGATACAATCATGTTTATTAATTATTACGATTATTATTATTACTATTATTACTACTATCACTATTGCTACTATTATAATTATATTATATTATAATTATATTTCTCTAACGTATGTAATTAGTTCACAGTGCCCTTTTATATATTATCTATTATATTTATTAAAAAGATTATCCTGAAGTATTCATACGATGTATATAATACGCACATATTATCACGAAGTCTTAAGGTTCACTTAAACCTCCATGTTCTCAGGGTTTCACTTTCCAAGAACCTGCTGGTTGGAAGTATAAAGAAAGGAGGAAAGAACAGTTGCACAATAACACTCGGCTTTATGACGATTCGTTAAGTCAGGAAAGTGAACGAGAATTTTTGTTGAACATTTGCACTTTTTCGTTTCGCCAAGATTGAAAATAAAGAAAATAAAGAAAAGATAAGATAATACTCGAGGTAATACGTGTAAAATATCGCACTACAAAAATATATTGAGCCAAAATGCACATTGTTTCCTTTAGCCCGATGTTTCTCTCTTTCATTTTTTTTCAGTTTGAAAACTAGTGCAGTCTGTGAATACGGAGGTTTTATCGAGTTTTTAATTTTCCTCGAATGCGAAAGAAAAATTCCGTTTTTCGTCATTTCTCTCTCGCTCTCTTTCTTTCTAATTAAGTGTGGATGTAACGTGTGATTTTGTAGTAATTTGTGTGTGTCTATGTTTCATAATATCCTGAGATGTGTATCGGTAAATCGAAGATAAATGCGCAAAAAAGAAAAAGAAAAAAGAAAACAAAAACGGAAAGAAACCATCGGAGCAGGCACTAAAGATTTTTGTAAGACATTTGGACGAGTAACGTATATTTTAAATTCCCTTAGATTAATTTTTTTTTACACGTTATCCGAAAACTAAAGGTAGATTAATCTAACCGATTCAACAGTATTATGATCCTGTATAATTTTATATTCTCAATGTTCATCCCTTTCTCACGCGTGATCAGTATTCTCTCTGCTCTTTGTTCGATTATTCTCATTCGTCTGAAATTTCAACTGTTTCGATTGTTAGTCAATTACTTTAGTCCTACGATTCTTTAAGCTAAACTCGAGAAATTCCATTAACGATATATGTATATATATAATATCTTCTGAAATACATATATTCGCTCGGTTTTTATACGATAGAAAAAAAAAACTAGACATGAAATATGAAAGGAAGAATCGATATCGAAAAAGTGGTTATTTTGTGATTCTTGGTGTCTATTCAATCATAAAAAGTAAAAAAGAAAAGTACTGAGATATTACGAACAACAGAGATTTAAATTAAGAGTGGGAACGAAAAATTGTACATATACGAGTAACGTGACTTTAAAACAACTATCGCACATGAATGTATCTAATAATTATTTAATATATTGCAAACATAAATGGTATTTTATGCTTCTATGCTATCTAAAATCCCAAAATTAACATTTATATCTTCTGTCATTTAAAGTTTAACATTACTTTAAATGGCAATTATTTCGTAGCAGGGTTAGAAGCATTACGCATGCGCAGTATCACCGTGTTGATGCGCAAGCGCTGCGCGTTGCAATTTTTAAAAATATCATTCCAGTGAAAGTACCGTGATTGAAATTAAAAAAACAATTTCTAACAATTAGCAATACACAAATTACTGTGTACAAGCATTCCAAAATGATATCTATTTTCAGGTAACGCACAAGCGACGATTTTAGCGTATTTGTGGCAATACGAAAACGACAAAAAGAGTAGATTATTTTACGTAATTTTATATGTTGGCGGTAAAACAGCTGATTTGAATGGTAGACATCTGGCGGTGGCTAGTGGACTCTCCAGCACGCAAGAAAGAAAGAACTCTAGAGAGGGGGAAACAGAAAGAGAAAAGCGAGTGGGCTACACGGGCGCAGTCTCGCGGCAGATTTCCATACGAGGGAAAGATCAATGGGCGGTCAGAGAGTAAGATGGCGGACTGCGAGTCGGAGGTGCAGTGCTTGCCAGCCGCGAACGAGGACGTAACGAGAAACGCAAGCGTGACGATGATCACCAACGGACGCGTGCCTCAGCACCCGGTGAACCAAACGAATCCGATCAGACAGGGGCCAAGACGCGTCACCATTTACAAAACAGAGACTGGTTTCGGGTTCAATGTACGCGGTCAGGTCAGCGAGGGTGGACAACTAAGAAGCATCAACGGTGAATTGTACGCGCCGCTTCAACATGTCAGCGCCGTGTTACCTCGAGGCGCTGCCGAAAAAGCCGGTGTACGAAAAGGCGATCGTATCTTAGAAGTGTAAGTAGTCTCTATCTCACTTCGTTTGTTTCCCTTTCCCAACAAAGCTCACCCGATCATTCTGTTTCTTCCTTGCGTTCATTCTACTATCTACTGTGATCACTGTGCGTTTACCTGTCAAACGAGTACCGACTCGCCTCGTCCGAGAGCCAAGAGTTTCTTACTATTGGTACAATAATCGAGACGAAGATCGAGTAACCTATTCCAAACGGGATACGCGCATAACCAACGGTTATCGTTTGCTGTGTATTCGTGAAATTTAACAGGGCCTACCCGTAACGAAAATTACTATTTGCTCTTGTATAGATTCGACAACCGGTTTATCGATACTACCGCGATAGTGTAATACTCGTTTTAATCGCAAGCTTAATCTGTAGTAACAGCGAAGAGACAATTTCTCGGTAGAGTTTACATTTCGTCTCCTCGTTGTGCCGTTCTATCAAGGGGGAATTTAATTCCGCGACCAACCGTTCTTGCTCACTCGATACTTTCGTATTATATATCTTTTTTCTTTTTTTTTTATTAACGATCTTAGAACGATTCCATAGAGTATATTTTTGAAAGGGAACGCTTGCAAAAAAGAAATCTGCGTTTAATTAAGTGTTCCACGTAGTAATTCTCGAGCATTGAAAAATATTATTCGATTAGAAACGTAATCGACGTGTCGGTGTAACTGAAATAACGGTACGGAGAGACAAACGTGCGCGGCTGGTATGTACTTCATAAGTGGGATCTCGTTCGTGTTTTTATATGAATATAGTTGTCAAAACAGTAAATACACTTCTACGTTAGCTGAGATACGACACAATGTTTGGTGATAAAAAAAACCAACATTTCGTTTTTCCATGACTTCCATGCGCCATTCGCATGTGTACAATCTCTGATTTATATCAAGGAATGACAAATTTCCGAATGAGAAACTGCTTTGTGAACATTACGCTATTGCAATTGTCGCGATCCGACCGGAGTTATTCAAGTTTGGATCGCGTATCTCGCTGTTTCGTGAAATCGAAATCGTGATATCGATTCGTATTGCTAGAAAACTCTCGACTGAAGGGAACACTCTTTGGCCTTGTTTTCAATCGGTCATAATGCTAATTACATTTGTACGCAGTAATTAAAGGCGTTAATTTGTCACGAATCATATACAAATTCAAGATCCTGTCGTTTATATTTTGATGTAGTCTGTGCTATTCTATTAGCCATCAGACGAATGTATTTTTCTAATATTAGAAAATAACTTTTGTTTTAAGAAAATATAAGATAATACTTATGATAAATATTTTTTTTAAATACTACGAGTTATTTATATTTACTAAAACTGAAATATAAAAATTCGAGGATCACAACAGGCTTAAAAGGATAGTGTTTACAATTAGATTTAGTGTTATATTCTTAAAAGAATTTAGCACATGTTTGTTATAAATTTAAACGATTAATATTTAGCTAATATTTTCCTGCCTTTAATGTCGTGCAAACAATACGTATTTTCGCTCTGAAGTTTTTTTTCTTTTTTTTTCCGCGATGAAAAACGTGGTTATTATCGTCTCGATCTTTCATCGTCAATGTCGTAAGATCGGTGATTTGTAATTTTTTTTTTTTTTTAGTTCAATGGAAATGTAGTCTTCAATTTTCATACGAGCGATATACGCACCAATGGGAGAACTAATTAAAATTAAGCATTTTCTTTTAATTATAAATTGTATCTATTTATTTTATTATTTTTCTATCTATCTGCCATTTCAAAAGCATGTATAATTAAGTCTGATAGACTTATTGTTAAACATATTATTAGCTGGTAGATATATTTAAAACCATTTTAGTCACTAATTCACCGATTAGTTAGGTAATTATTTTTGCATAATATTCAAGCAAATGGATTCTAACAATTCTAACAATTCTTGTGATCATTTAATGATATCGTAGACTTATTCGACTTGCTAATGTTATTCTCGTCGTCGAAAGCGAATAGAAGAAAAAGATTCACAAGATAAGAAGCGTGTTGGCTCAAGAAAGTATTTCAACACTAGAGTAGTAGAAAACTTTTATGTTCATATTGTACATATTACATAAAATCTTGAAATCTCATTAGCCCTCTAACGAGACAAGATTAGCATTATTATATTGATAAAATTTTGAAATCGCTCTGAAAATGTATTGAGAAAGTACAAACAAACAAAATATTTACTGTCAGTGATACTAAATAGTTATCTTGAATATGTTAAATAAGTGTTAAAGATCGCTTTACTGAATATTAAATTTTATTATAACTACGTATATAAATTTTTCTATATTAAAAACTAGAACTTTTTCCATAAAAGTAGTGATCCTTCTTGTTTTTAAAAATTTATGTAAATTTGAAGATTTGTACAGAATATAATTTATTTTATAAAATATATCTACATTTATATTAAGTACATTTCACAGATTTGTTCCAAATTTCATATGGTATAACATCATCGTGTCTTATCACAGTGCTAATGAAATTTCTTTTCTAAAAGTGTTGACACACTTTGATGAGTCACTGTACATATCTATTCATCATTAAAAAGGCAAAATTTGTACATGCACGCGAGTCACAGAGATAAATAGGTTATTTTCGTAGCTTTGTTCATGTTCAAAGAAGATTAACAGAATGTATTGTTCCAAAGGAAAAACGTATCAAGGTTTATTATTTAATTTGTTATCTCGAGTATGCGCAATGGGTCAGTGTACTTGGTTGAACTAACTAAGAAATCAGACGTTAATCATCGTGTACCTACTATTTACAGAGACATTTTTTTATCATTTACACTAATGATGGTAATTAAAGTGGAGAGTAAGTTTCGTAGAAAATAATTGGATGACACAAAGAAATTCTACATTATTAACGACGAAATATACTGCTCGTCAAATAAATTGCAACAGTTAAAAACTGGTCGCACATGTTCTTTAGATCAGTAACATTTACTTGAAAAATAAAGTTTATAATAATTGTTTAAAAAAATAGAAAATTTAAAAAAAAATACATTTTGCTTATTGGAGTTCTAAACTTTATTTTATCTATTAAATATTTTAACAGGTACCCCATATTTCCTGTAGCTTGTGTACGTAATATAGTATAGTGCATTATGTACCTTAAAATTTTCCAGAAATGGAGTTCGAGTTCGAAATTCACTTTTTCGTGAATCAAAAGATTTTGCATTCCCGTTTGTAAGGTATTCCAATTTTTTTCTTTTTTTTTTTTAGTAATCAATCAACGTGTTATAATTATGAGATTAAAACAAGGTTAACTTAGAAATTTGATTCTTGTCTTCGATGCGCTAGCTTTACCAAGCATCGAAGCTTTGAAAAGATTTGTCACTTGTACGACTTCTAACAAGTGGTTACATGTACCCACGACGATCTCGCGGATGAACTTTTTAGCCACCAAGGACACGATATTAAATTAGAGCGAAACGGGTGTTTTCTTCGACGTGAGTATTATGTACTTCGAAAAGTAATATTAAAATATGTGGACAAACATATACGTATAATAATCACTTTTTAAAGTAGAAGCGAACAACCAACGATAATTTGTAACTAGTGATAATTTCAAGTCGTTTGCTCGACTTAGAAGTCTCTCAATGTCATAGATATCATTTTTCAATAATATTATTAGTTAGTTATCGACTCGTCTGTATCATTTGCAATTGTAATTAGTTTTGCTAATCGTGCCTGGATCGGTTTCGTTGGAAACAACTTGGTAATTATATGAATGAAAACCTGCTGATAAAAAGAAACACTACGTGATCTGTTCAATTAGTCTACCGACTCATTTAATTTAATAAAGATCAAAATCTCAGACTCGATGCTTCCTGTAAATTTGAAGAATAACTGCATGAACGAACAGATGTGTAGCTTAGGTTAGATTAGATTTGATACTGAAGAAATACTATGTGGTTTGTTCAATTAGTTTACCGACTCACGTTTGTGGTTATCGTATGCTAATATCTGCGTTTAATTTAATAACGAAGATGAAAATCTCGTTCTCAGTGCTTCCTGTAAATTCAAAGAATAATTAGACACATGGAAAAAAAAAATTAGACACAGCTGAATAGGTTAGATTAAGTTGAGTTAGATTTAACTGGTAAGAAGAAACACTATGGGATTTGTTCAGTTATTTTATCGATTCGTCTTTGTAATTATCGTACAGTAATATCTGAGTTTAATTTAATAAACAGAAAGAGAAAACTCTCATATTTGGTGCTAAATTTGAAGAGTATCTTCATGAATAAACAGTTGCGCAGGTTAGATTAAGTATGTGATCAATTAATCTACCGAGCAATATTTGTAATTACGATGTAACGATAATTAAGTTTGATTTAATGACGGAATCTAGAACAAAATGATTATTTCTTTCTATAAATTTCAACAAAAATATAAGAGTAACAAAGTAAATAAAATTTCTCGTGTCTCAATAAACTGCGCCAAGATATTTCAATATCTCTTTAATGTTATACAGATTACTGTTACGCTGACGCAATCGTATTATTATATTTACATGAGAATGCAAATGTTCAACATTGAATGACATCTTTCACACGGTACTACACATTCTTCTTCTTTTTTTATTTTTTTGGTAATTTCAGTGATTATCGGAGGACAGGTGTTCATGGTCGTGATCAAGTACGAATTCGTTACAAATACCGAATGTTTCCAAGTGTACTACGTTTTAAATATCTCGGATATTTTTAAATATTATATAACTTTGGTGGGTGTTATCAACTTTCACGTTCAAAATATAACTCGTGATTTTGCATTGCATCTTGAATTTAAATATTGCTAAAACGCTTCTTTACAAAACCAACACATTCTGTCTTATACCCTTTTACTCACCAATTATACCGAAATATATTCTTTCAATTTCTCACAAACATCTGCATGCTAGTAATTATTAGACTCATATAAAATATTTAAAAGAAAGTGTTCAATTCACAAAGATACAAATTTGCATAAAACATCTGCAGTCTAGTAATTACCATAAATCCTCAAAATCATCGCACTCAATCGATGAAACACGAAGTTTCGCGATATAGTATTAGTCCTGTGTCATATACTTTGCCCGTATTTGGTGACATTGTGTTTAATAACTTATTAATAGATAACTAGTTCGCATTTTCATCGCAAAAGCAGATTATCTCGCCCCTGTTGAGACGTATCGTCCGGTTGACATATCGATAAGTGTAAATACACCCGGGCATTCAGATATATATGACCTCTTTTCTACGTACGTACATGCGTTGCCTCTGATACGTCTTGTGTTAAGTGCAAAAATCATGCTGAAAAAATAAAGCGATCATAATGGGCCATCGCGAGAAACTCTCGACGAAGAAGTCGATATTTCTCGCGAAATATGCAACACTTTTTCATCACAAAGGCACGAAAATCTTCAGATAGTTTTCGTTTTTAATATTCAGTATCATTGATATTTCTAATATCTAAATATCAGTACTTGATTATATTATGTTTTATAATATTCGTTGTATGAAATACTATTTATTTCTTCCAGTTTGAAACAGATGTATGTACTTGTCCTAAGATTCGAAAAGGTTTTCCAAGAGAGACGAAAAATAGTTTCCGAACAGAATTTATATATTACTTCGTCTATCAAAGAAACGACGAGATTTAAAATAATACACTTCACTTTTTTTTAAAATTGTAAAAATTTAAGTATATTTTCTAACTACTAAAAGAGTCATGATCTCAAAAATTAAAGTTTGTTAAACGATTCCTTACAACTTGCTGTAACGATCTTTCTTCGTTGTTTTATCGAACTTTGAATATTATGCTTAAATGGCAAATTCAAGAAATTCTAATATTTCGTCATCTAACTCCAATGTTCAAATTTCAATAAAATAGCGAAAAAAAATCGCAGAACAAGAGGCCGTGATAAATTTGGTCTCGGAAACTATCTTTCAATGTTTTAGAATTTTCACAACTTTCGAGAATAAAAGTATGAGTAGTTTCCTAGTTACCACTACGTGATAAAAAAATACATTTGAAAAAAAACCAACTCATAACTGTCAATGTAAAGACTTTACTCTTTAAAATGAGGCCAAGTAGGTTGTTATACGATCTTCTTTTACAAAGTTAGAGCAGTTTAAAGTATCGACAATTTTTCGTCGTTATTGGTTCAGTTGTTCTCGCTGTAATTGCTCCTTAGCGAGCGACATTACGAAGATAAACGGATAAGATCTTCGTAATTGGTCGAGAAATACCTCTGCAATATTTTCATAACGATAGTTTGAAAATTATGTTATTTTTTTCGAGTTGCGGGTACACGTTAGGTGTTGTGCAGATTATTTTCTTGTGTCGAATAATCGATTCTCTGCGACACTGGTGAGAACCAATACGTTATCGTACGTTGGGTGAATTTATCGTGATTTGCTTGCTTAGCTTTCTCTTCAATTACGTTCGTGATTCCGATTAAAGCCCGTGCCAGTCTGGAAGCTTTTGATGGAAACTGAACGGAATCGGACGGGCGATTAAATCTGCAAGATTTATTTCTCTTTCGGATAAGGTCGACGTACGATTAGAGGTTGATGCCAGATGTTATCGCGTGGCTGGCCATGTTAAATCTTGTCAATTATCAATGAACGATGAAACACATAGATTGAATCCTATCCTCGAACGTTCTTTGCGCGAGATGTTGTTTGCTTGATCTGTTTGGAAAGGAAAAAAAAAAAAAGACAAAGAGTTTCACAGCGGTAATAACAATTTATGTAATTCTTCGCGATTAAATATTAGATCTTCATTTACCATTGCGTGGTAAGATAAAGGAACAAACGATAATTTTATCGAGACCTACATATATATCTCGCGTAAATCATTTTTCTCTCTTTTTTTTTTTTCTTTTTTTAGTACTAATCTTGACGAGAATCAGATGTCGATCGCACGGTATAATTAGAGTTATAAAACGCTTTATTATTAATTTCGATGGTTTTATTTTTACTTTTAATCGATAATACTCGCTCTTACCTTCCCATTGACTTCATTACTGACCTGTTCAGGTCAAATTACGATGTGCTCAAGTTCTAAGAGAAACGAAGCATAGCTGAAGAAAAAAAGGGTTCGTCATAAAAATAGTAACTCATTAAATATACTCGCATCGTCGTACAAGTCGAAACGGCAGCCCACGCGGTTTAGAAAAGTTGAGGAAAGAAAGAAAGTTTTCCCTCCGGCATGGTAAATAAAACTTGAGCCAAACAATTACAGCCTCAATTTTCATTGAAGAAAATGCTGATTACGGCGGGAAAATTTCAAAATCTTTTATCAGATTATCGTGATTACATTTGTGCAACCAATGGCAGACGTGTCTCGTTATAATGCTAATTTCAAATTTCATACTTTATACGACGCGTAATATACGCGCGAAAGTTGTTGATACTTTCGTGAGCGAGAGAGTATCGTGCAAGAAAATAAATAATAAACGTTCGAACAGCTAGCAATTTTTTTCTTCTTTTGGAGGGGGAAACCACTCGACGTTATCTGGTCAGCCCGGTTCGCTATGAAATCAAAGATAATGAAATAAAATTAAAGGGGGGACCCGAGGCCGATAGGAACAAGTATAAAATGCATGGGTCTGTGCTTAGTTGGAGTGCAGACCGTGTGTCGAAGCGCACTAGCCGTGCCTCCACTCCGTGGCCAATAACATTCATCCTTTCACGTTCGGAATTCGAAGCTCGATCAAGGCTGGTCACCTGTTTTCTTTCCCCGTGTTCATTTTTACTGGTCGTGAAAGTGGAAACTCGCGACTAGACGGAGGAAATAAGAAACCACGGCCCGTTCCTTTCCTTTTCCTCGCCAGTGTATCTACGAGCGCAGCCTAAATAAAATCTAACGAGTCTCTCTAGTCTACAACAGGTGCAACGCGTCCAGCAGTTGACAATCTTTTCTCAATATTGTGATAATAAATACGCGTTAAAATGCTAACCTGTTACGTTACTGCGATTCAATGCGAGTGGATGCAAAATCGCGGACGTCGTGGATCGAATCTCGACTCGCGATTCAAAGCGATCACCGCAGGGTAATGGAAACATCCGCGAAATCGTTTGTTTGCCATTTACATTTGCTTCTTCTGTCTTATTGCAGGAACAGCGTGAACGTGGAGGGGGCCACCCACAAGCAAGTGGTGGATTTGATCAAGTCCGGTGGCGACGTACTAACGTTGACTGTTATCTCCGTCACACCACAGGAAGCAGAGAAGCTGGAACCATTTGAGGATTTAAGGTGAGAATTACACGTATGGTCTCTTGGACGAGACTTTTGCGGTTTAACATCTATTAACTCTGCTCTTCTTAATCGGTATCATCGGGTACTGTTGCGTCATGAGAGGATAAGAAATTATGAAAAATATGGGATTTCTTACTCCCTGTATTTCTTCTTTTCATTGTAACTGAACGGCACACTTCTACTTTTCACGCACTTATGTTGGTCAATTACGCTTTCTCCTAGTTATGCATCGGTGGACTACAGCGAGAAGCGATCTCTACCTATCAGCGTGCCGGATTATCATGTCCGCGAGAGGAAGCACGAGCGTTATGTGGTTTTCAACGTTCACATGGCAGGCAGGCATCTGTGCTCGCGACGTTATCGCGAATTCGCCGCTCTGCATATGGCACTGAAGAAGGAATTTATCGGCTTCAACTTCCCTAAGCTGCCGGGAAAATGGCCATTCCAGTACGTTATCCATATCAAATCCATATTTTTCAACTCATATATATTCAACTTGTATATACACGAGCATTATCGCACTTGTGCGTAGATTGAGCGAGCTTCAACTGGACGCAAGGCGACGCGGATTAGAACAATACTTGGAGAAGGTTTGTGCGGTGCGTGTAATTGCTGAAAGCGATATCATGCAAGAATTCTTGGCTGATAGACTCGAAGAGGACGGGGATCAAGGTCCAGCGGTTGATTTGAAAGTATTGTTGCCGGACCGCGAAGTTGTTACCGTTACGGTCGCTAAGGCTGCCTCTGTCAGCGACGTGTACGACGCAGTTTGCAGTAGAGTGGGTCTAGACGCAGAAACAGCGAAATACTTTTATCTCTTCGAGATTGTCGAATACAATTTCGGTACGTAATTGGAGAATCAATGAGTCCAATCGTTTGATACTACATACATGTGTATCCAGCAATGCCATTCTAATGGAACTTCATTCGTTTTGCAGAAAGGAAATTGCAACCTCACGAGCATCCTCACACACTGTACGTTCAAAATTATTCGACCGCCAGCGTGACGTGTTTAGCAATAAGAAGGTGGCTTTTCAATGTAAATAGACCACTGAGCGAGCAGGCGTTAACCTGGATCTTCTGGCAGACGGTGGACGAAGTTAACAGGGGACACATTACCGCCGGTGAAAGATTGTACCAGTTGAAAGCATTGCAAGATGCATCGAGGAAACACGAGGTACAAACGAGTTTTTGTTCCTTTGTAACAATCTAGATTCTAGACTTTACATCTGAGAATATAATAGAAAAGATAATGTCACTGTAAACATATTACAAAAAAAACACTGTACTTGAATAACTTTTTCCTAAAAATCCGCCTCTAATATATTGGTATGATTGTCAATTTTGAAAATCTTGCGTATTCACGCTTGCATTTTTCTTCTTCCGTTTTTAGTACCTAAAACTAGCGAAAGAATTGAGCGGTTACGGCGACATAGTGTTCCCTCATTGCGCGTGCGACTCGCGGAAGGAAGGACACGTTGTTCCCGCCGTTGGCGCGCCGGCGTTCAAGCTACACGCGGCGAAGGAAGATGGCACTTTGGAATCTCAAGTTGTTGAATTTCAATGGAACATCATCACACGATGGGAGGTAGACGAGGAAGGAATGGCGTTCTGCTTTCAGTACACGCGTCAAGACAACCGTCCACCACGTTGGCTCAAGCTTTTCACACCTTATGTAAGTATTGAAGAAGTTCCCCTTCTTTTTTCCTTCTTCTTTAAAAGATGAATCTCAATAACACGTGTCATTGCAAATTGACTGCAATTATTTCTTTTGATAGTAGAGTGCCAGTTTACAATGACTCATTCTATTTGGAATCTTTGGATATTTTGTCACAGTAGTTGATAATCTGTTTACTCATTATATGTACAGTGATTCGCAAAAATATTGCTACACCTGTCAATATCTTTTTATAAATATATTACGTTGTATTATATTTCCATTAGCACTGTAATGACACTCAACTATCATGATATTGTATCGATATAATTTTTAACGATTTTAAAAATGCAGACATAAGTTACAAAATATTTATCAAGTATACGTTTCGCAGAAATTATAAGTCTTTGAAATAGATTTCATGAATAAGTTATAAACGTATATTTGCAGTAAATACCTTGTAAATGTTTTGATTAGGTTCAAACTTTTCTAATACAAAGCAGTTGCGTGTCATTATAATTTTATTTAAATTTCGAAATGTTTCACAGTGTAATATGTACAATGTATGCATAAAAACTTTCTATATAATAAGTGTACAAGCCAAATCGGTGCAATTTAATTAAATTACCTCACGTACTATTTACGATCGAACACGTTGCGTTTTGTTCGCAGTACACGTTCCTGTCAGATTGTTTCGATCGAATAGCCGAAGAAGCGAAATGGGACGATCCAGGCGAATGAGGCAACGCTCTGCATTAAAAGTCATGTGTATGGTGCATAATAGCAAAGGTATCGTTTCATCGGACACACATTTCACTTATCTTTGTAGCAAGAACTTTTTGATTAGGATTACTTTTCTAAGGCGATTCGGAAACTAATAAGACACACACATATCGGACTCTTGCTTTCGAGATTAGCTTCGCAGTATCATTAAACGCAGTGCATACATTACGTATCATTGTACACTTCTTTTATGGTGTTTCAAATACGAAATGCGCTGCTCGATAAATTAATACTTCTCGTTTTTTCTTGTTCTAAACGGTATAACAAACATCAACATCTAGACATCTAATAACGATAATTCTATCGTAGATTGCGGTACTTTAGTTCAGGAGGAGAAAAAAAAAAAATAACTAGGCGATCGCGTTTACTTTTTGTGTAAGATATTGTTGCTACTTCGTGCTAAAACACCAGACACTAGATGAACCTATTTTTTGGCCTATCATTCACCGGTGTAACAACGTGTATATTTTTGGATGTCGATCGAGAGAATCATTGAACTCATGAAACGTTCCTTTTTACTAGCCTAATAATAAGTATCGCCAATTTTCGTTCGAATACGTGAAGTTAACCAACAAGTATTATCATTTAACTAGTTAATTCTCATTAAACTCTGTGCGCATTTTCTTCCTTTTTTCTTTTTTTTTTTTTTTACATCTTTTATCAGCCTCGCCTGTTTTCGTTTTATACATACATATATGTATACAGTTGTATGTACTCGATATAGCAAAGTAGAGAGATTGTCGCAAGCATCCATCTGACGTTATCCGTGTAAAGTGAAGCGTAATAGAGGTTCGAAGGATAGCACAGATTACTTTTTCCCCCGAAGCTATATTTTTACTATTAAAGAAAGGCAGAAAAGTAAGAACATTGTTCTCGATCCGATCTCGTGTGTCATCGTGCGTCGGTAGTGTACAAAATGATGAATGTACTAGAGGTTGTAAACGAAAAA